GCAAATTTTCAAGAAAAAGAAGTTCTAAGAAGTATTGACTCTGTTGACCTGGATATAAATGTAAACCCTACTTTTTAGATATTCATTAGAAAGAAAAGAGATTGTTTTTCTTCCAGTTCCCACTATTACAGAGCTTTGTAGTCTCCTGTTACAGTACATAAAATCCCTGTATAGCACATTGAAGGTACTTGTTATAGTATGACTATATAGGTAAATGTTTAACACTATTGGGCTGAAATTAGATGCAAGATTCTAATATTCAATAGTACACAAACATGTAAAGTGCAAAAGCATTTGATTTCTTATGCAGATCAGGTTTTCCTCATTCTCCCTGTCCTGAAAAATACACAGTTTAAAAATTATTTTCTCCTCTAAACTTTAGTTGTTAACATTCTCCTGGTGCTAAAGGATCTTAGAAAGCTCATTAATGTGTAGAAAGAAACAAAGAGCCAATTTTCATTATTTTCCTAAGTATCTGAGCTTGATTCTCAAAGCTGAAAAGTGACTCAATGCTTCATAAGAGGCTCAAAATCTAAAAACCTCTCTGACATGACCTAAGCCTTGCAATTCACTGACAGGTACAGTATGAGTCAGCTTAAAGGAAAAGACAAATCCCACTAGCACAGAGGTGATTGTATGACCTCACCTTTGAAAATGAAGTTTTATATAACTGGGTTTGAAGGTGGACATGCAGTGCATTAGCAAAAATTGGAAACTGAGAAGTTCAGCTTCACAGAAATTGCAACAAATGACTAAACATATACTAGTGTAGGAAAAGTACAGGAAACAATGCCGGTTACGCAGCACTGAGGGGGTTTGATTTGACAGCTGATATAGCTTGAAACTGTGGTTAAAAATCTTCCAAGTTTTGGCTTCCTTGTATATTTTGATCTTATTCGAGATTTAGATGACCTCCGCCTCCTTTTGGCCTTGAAGGTTGATGGAGCTGCAGCTGTGGGCCGGACTGCCTGACATATGAATGCAGCTCTGAGTTGACAAATCAGCAACACAGCAGTCCAACTCCTCCTTCTTCTCCTCCTACCCTCCAATCTCACAACATACATCTCAGCCGCAGACAATTTTAAGACTGCAAGTGCAAAAGAAGTCACCAAAGAGTAAAAACAAAGAGACAGCTATCCGTTCATCCGGTGAAAGCTTAATGCCAGGGCACCATCTGCTCATCCGCTCGGTGGAAGTCGCCACTTCCAGGGCAGTCAAAGACGACAGTAAGATTGAGGGAGACGGGGTTTCTTTGAGCAGTGGCAGGAGATTTAAGTTTGGACCAAGAGAGTCAAGGCAGAAGGCTGCAGGCCGAGCCAAACGGTAGCAGGAAGCTACTACCTAGTGTGTGCAGAGATTTATGGTGACTGGCCCATCCACCAACCATCTGGGCTGGTATAGATAAATCTAACTTGACGAAAAGAGCAGGAACTTCCAGAAAAAGGGTAAACAAAGGCAATTTTCCCCTCTTCAAATGGCAGTTTAGGTGTGCAGTTTACATCTAAAGGGTAAAACCAATAAATCACGATTACAAATTGTCGTGGTGGATGTGAAACAATATCAGAGGTGGATACGTCCGATTAAAGAACTTAAGGAGAGGGTGGTGTTGGAGTGAGAGCACTGAGAGGAAGAGAAAACAAAGGGATAGTTGGCGATGGGAGCAACGCTTTGAGAAAACACAAACACACACACACACATTCTTTGATTGGCTGCTGATTACATGAACTCAAAGCTGATCAGTGTGCAAACTTCACTATGCAGTGCTTCTGAAGACAACAGTCGAAGACAACAAAAGGGAAAAATAATAGAGTTTATATTAATTCCTATAAAAGTCTCATGCCTTGTTAAGGTTTATAAATGAAAAAAATATTAGGCAAATCAATTAAATAAGAACATTCCCAGCTAAGATGTTCACATAAATAGTTGAGCTGGCATTCCAGTTGGGGTTTATGAAAAAGAATAACCAAGCGTGATTTTTCCCATCTTTGATGAGACAAACTTTCAGAGAAATAAATCCAAATTTTCAACTAATTTTTAGAAAAACCAGACAGATTTTGATGCAATAGCCAGAAAATAATCATCCAAGAATAACTCGATTTTTAGTGACAGTGGAAAAAAAATCTTCAATGTTTACTTTCTTGTGTGTCCAGTGTAGTTTAGAGAAGGGACGATGACTGAAGGGTGAGTGACATCCAGGAAGTTTTAGGATGTGTATGAAATGCTGCGAGGATAGAGCAGATTTATTTGCTCAGAAATGTATGCTGTGATTCCGTGTTTTACAAAAGCAAAAGATTTTTCATAAAGGTTTCATTAAATTATGTAACTATATAAGAATGAAAGCTTAACCTAATTTTTGTTATACTGATATATGTTGTATGTCTGCAGGACATAAAGCAATAATGATAGTGGTTGCTCTTTCAAAATACAGTTTTCCTTAAACTGACGTATACTTGACAGAAAAAAAAATCTACTCATAATCTACTAGTAACATGATACAGACTACTCCCAAAAGCTGGCAAGAAAATTGCCACGTCCTTCTTAAAAGAAGAAAAAAAGGTGTTTAAATACTTCATGTGTACGGTAGTGATGAAACAGGAAATCTGCTAGTGACCAGCAACCAATGGTCAAACTGAAAATTCGAATAGTTTTCTGATCCCTGATTTAACGTATTAGCATTTTGCCACATTGCACTGACAGCACTACTCGTGCAAGTCACTAACTGAAAGAGACTCATACTTGGCTAGTAATAAAGTTCAGTCTAAGTGTAAGTCTAGTTTCTATATAAATAAGATACAAGCAATGCACTGTAAGAAGGCATTGAAAGAATACCTATATTTTGTGTGACTTTTCCACATCAAGCTGCCAGACAGAGAGTGAGAGCAAGAAAGCCGATAATAGGAAAGCTAAATAGAGTACAGCATTGCTTTCTTTTCTATCATTTGGTGCTTTTAAACTCTACTTGTATTGAAAGTTGTGTTAAGAAGTATTGGCAGCTTTTTAGAAATCTCACAGTTAAGATAAAGGTCTATATTACTCACAAGAACTGATTTTAATAGTACCAGATTGAGAAATGCTTTTTGTACTATTCATGCTAAATACTAATAATTCTATTACCCTTTCGTCTTCACAAATTTCACTGGGTTCACACTAGGGGTGTAAATCACACCCATCATGAATTCGATTCAGTATCAGTTTCCTGACCCAACGCTTCGATTATTTTCTATACTCAAGAATATACCGCGATACGATTCGATTCGATTAATTGGTTCCTTTTTATTTTTCTTAATTTTTTGTATACATTACAGGCTAGACCCTTTTTCCACCTGGATCCCCGCTCTTTTTGGCCCTCATGTCCCTCCGTTGTCGGACAAAGTCGCCCCCACTTCCTCTCTGCCTCGGCCATATCTACAGTACACCCACAGTGTGTAGCACAGACCAGGCTTCAATATTGAGCATAAATCAAAAATGTCTGTGTCAAGCTCACTGCGACACACTGCTGCAGGAGGATAACCAGGAAGCGGGGTAGGAGGGCAAAATAGGTTTAGCGCCACCGCAGCACAGGAGTGAGAATTACGCCCAAGAGCAAATGGATAAAAATAAAAAACCGGAGGAAAAGAAAAAACAGGAATCGATACTTTTGCTGACGTGTCGATGCATCGGATCGTCGGCTGTTGTATCGATGGATCGATACAAAACGATTATTATTTACACCCCTAGTTCACACACAAACTGGCATGATAAATGAACAAGGACAGCTTGAACAATTGCATTAAATACGGAATTTAAGTTTTCCAAAGAGACATAGACTAAATTACATGCTCAAAGCCAAACCTTTGAAAATAAATCATTATTTTTGGCAAAGTTAATTAACCTAACAACTGTAAAAAAGGCTTTGTTTAAAATTCCTTAAATGAAAAATCCAGAGTGAAACCTGGCATGACTTCTTAAATCAATAGTGAATGACAACACTTTATTGTGCATATTATAATCTTCACAATCCCCAAGTAACTTTGCCAAAAGCACAAGATCTGTTCTTCTCTCCATATAAGAATGTGCATCACATGTCAGATAGTAAAAAATGGAAATGATTTAATATAAGTCCCTGTGTATCTCAGATGTTATAACTAGTTCTCACCAATCCTAAAAGGGATCCCTGAGGAGCGCCTACATTTCTTAGTTCCAGCACATGTTGAAAAACCTTTTCATATCTCCATCTTGTGGATGTTGTTAATCTAAGACATCTTCCCAGCTGTGGCTAACGATTAAGATGAAAGGGAGCTGGAAATACTGATAACGCCTGCTTCTACGGCTTGTATCCACTTTAACATGGGCCAACTTCTTGAAGGGACACAAGAAATGTCACTGGAAAGGAAAACAACGCTTCAAACAAGTGAGAATGTCAAAGGAGAGTTGGAAGTCTGGGTTAGTGTTTATCGCCATCTTAAGATGGACTCAAGGACTTGGAATGAAGGGAGAAATGGAGGGAAAAGTGACCAGACTGTCAATGACTTTAAATTACCAACGCTCCACTTCAGAGCACGACAGAACACACATTTACCTCTTGGCCCTGACTTTTATCAGCCTCCCCAAATAAACAGTATAGAAGAGATTTTCTTCCTCGAGATGAAACACAAATTTTCCCATTCTAGACAGTTGATGATGTGTAAAATTAAACAAGAAAAGACTAATCAGTCTCCTCCAATACAAAAAAGAGCAGATTGGTTCCAAAAGTTTCTATAGGCAATTTGTGCATCAAAAGTTGTGAAGTAATATTCTTTATAGTTTGTGACTGAATACAGTTAAAGGATGTATTGGAACCTTGTAAATACCAAAATATCACAGTAAAACAGCTGGTCTGGAGTTGAAAAAAAAAGGGAAACAGGGAGTAACTCAACTGGTGGTCAAGCAGCTGCATCCCCGCAGAGCGACACTGCTGAGATGTGGCTGCATCCATGTGCTTTTGTGTTTGAAAAGTTTTACTTAACAAGGGGAAAACTTACCAGGATGCCAGTGAACTGCTTCTCATCCATCCTCCAGCAACTTGTGAGCAAAGATCCTCTGCCTCTTTGCTATTTGCACACACTGTCTGGATTGGACTCGTCCACCTCTGGCTATCAGAGCTCTGATGTCTTCTGAGGTGCCCCAGTGCCTTCACCCCGCCGCGTCGGACTCTCTCCGTCTCGGTTCCCCCACTTCTTCTGTGCCGTTTGCAAGTGTTGCTTGGAGTGGCGTCGCTGCTTTGTGTTAATTCTGCCCTAATCCAGGAACCTTTCTAAGCTGTGAAAAGAACACGTGACAAACAGAGAGGGGTAGGAGGGAGGAGAGGAGAGGGGGCAAGGAGACACTTTTTAACAACTTTTGGAATAATCAGATCCAACTTTATCTCTAATCTGTTTCATGTAAAACAAATTGAACATGACCCCAACCTTTCTTTCCTCTCAAGAGTTTATTAAATCAATATGCTTTTAAATAATACATAGAAAATAAGCTACAGCTGACACAAAGGATTTCGAAAACATGTAGTAACATATTTGCATACTGTAGCAAAGCAGCTGGCACAACAAAGTGCCCTTTTGTGTACAGAGATTAACTGTTAGGGGAACATTCAGACGGCTGTAAGGCGGCCAAACTGGGGGAAAAGCTCTGAACCCAGAATTAAATCAAGGCGGCAGAAAATATTTGTGTAGATAAAGCAGTTTTTTTTTACAGCTTCAAACTTTCAAGATAAATTTTCTTCGGTATTTAGCCAAAATCTTAAAAAAAACAAAAAAAAACAATTTAAAATACCAACCAGTTCTCTTATATAAATGTCCTATAGGCAGGCTAATATAATGTAAAATGGCTTTAGCTGAAACAACATTTTATTTACTGTAAAACTGGAAAAACAATAGTTTTGATTACAAAACAGCAAAGTTAAAAGTTTCTCTATAAATGTAATATTTTGAACAAAAGATATTTCATAGGATGAATGATACTCTAAATTTATAGTTAGCTCTATTTAAAGTTGTCCGTAAGAATCCTGTTGCAAGTCAATGCATGCTGTATGTTCTCTGTAGAATGACGTGATTACAATTTAATATCAAAGACTGGATTGGCACTTCATGGCTGATTAAAAAGATTCTGACTTTACATGAAGTTATAATGCCACACATTATGTTTAATTAATATGCCAATATTAAATGCGAACTATGAAAAGCAAAGCTTTGTTCCGATGTGAAAATCCCAGATATAGACCTATTGAGGACTAAATTTATACATGTAATACATGGAGGTTCACATACCAAAAAATAACCGATCAAACAGATTCAATATTGCCACCATGGAAAAGCATCAAACTTTACCTCATTGTAAAGTGAAAATTCTCTGGTTAGTTAAATAGACTGGCAGGCTGAGGCTGCATATTTTACTTTACACAGTAGATGTGATCCTGCTTTTTCTGAATTCATTGCTGACTCAATAAATGAAAACAAAAAGCATCTCAACACAAGCAGAGAAACGGGGCCAAATATAGCCACCATTCAGGGTCATACGCATAAAAACCCTAACATGCAAACACTGCACTGGCTTCACATACAGGAGCCTATAGAGTCACTGAAATGCCCAGAGGAATGCATCATGCACAGCACGATGCACATTGATAAGAGATGAGTGTAAGAGTGTAAGAAACAAATCTAGATTATAAACTAAGTCCTACCGTCCACAAAGCGATGCTGCAAGAGAAAGAGACACTAAACAAAGCCAACATCAGCAAAGGGAGCTGGCTCAGTGTCTAAGGAACTATCTGAAACCAGGACGGAAGACTGTGATTAAAATATACAGCTCTGGCTCCATCCCACTGAGGAACTGTACTAATGTATGTATGTACATGAGGAACCAGGCCAAGCCTATTGGGCAATCCTGGAAGGAGTGGCAGCAGGAAGTAGGAGCAAAAGGTTGTTGCTCTAATGAGGGTTATTTAAAACTAACATCAATGTTAATATACAATTTACAATCATGATAAACAGCTCAAAAAAAGTTCATTCAGTACCTTCAAAAAGGCATTCTTATAGATACATATATTCTATATATATATATATATATTTTTTTTCTCTCTCTCTGTCTCTATTTAAAATCTTGCAAAATTTAAATCTTAATGATTTTAGTCTTTGATTTGATTTATACCTGAATGCTTTTCCTTCAGATGGTATTTTTAGCAAAAGATCCCTGCTTGCGACCACCTTAAACATTACGGTGAAGTCTGTCATAGTGGTTAGGAAAATATTTACCATGTGGATAAATTGGAAATTCATGAAAATCCAGGCAAATTTATGTCAGTCATGTACGAAGTATGAAGGACATACTAATAGGACGTCCAGCTCTGTCCCAACATGATTACACAGTAGGTAACTGCTCCCGGACGACATGTTCTCACTGCTTCCTTAGGACAAACTGTCCATTTCTGGTGTGAAGAAACTTGTTACAGTTGAAGACCCCTGCTTACTCTTAATTTCCAAACAAATTTGAAGCAATAAAGTATAAAAGCTAGGTTTTGAAAGCACTTCTGGTCAAATCAAACATAGTTCTTCACCAGGAACCACTAGCGGCAGAGTTCAAGAAAATTTTGAATAGTTTTCATTTACACAAGATTATAACAGTTATAGTCAAAATTATGTTTTAGTATATGACAGCATCAAATGCTCCTTTTACTCTCATGACTTCCTTAGCAAAAGCATGTTCAAGGAGTTTAAGGAATAATAAATTACACACAGTATGAACAAGCTAGAGTAACTGATTAAGGAACATTTAAGGTTATAGTGGCATTCCTTGAGGGAAACCCTACATAGGAGCAGAAATAGACAGTATTATGTGTGCAGGTGGTCAGGGAATGTACATACATCCCGACATGCAGGTTTGTAACATCTGTCCTGTCATATCTGCTTCTCTGGACTTTTTGGTTTTAAAACTTAAATAAAAACGTTAGGAAGTTTTTATTTGGGGTTGCATTGTTTTTGCTTATCATGTGTTTCTGTTAAGATTTGTATGACTTTTTCAATTAAATATGAATTTACTCTTCCTTGGTGTTTATTTTATTTATCTCTTTTCTGCACTCCTGTTATCTATTTAACATGCACTGTACTTTTTTTTTTTTTTTTTTATGGGTTTCTGTTATCTATGGATTACGGTTTCCCATTCCAGATTATGTATCTACATTTCTCCAGTCCCATCCCCATCCTTTAGTTTTCCCTTCTGGTCATTCTGTTTCTTAGAAATTTGTTTCTTTTCCCTGATTAGTCATATTAGTTCATCCCAGCCCTATTGGATTTCCCTAGTACCCCTATCCTTTCCCCTTAGATTTTTTTCTAGCCACTTCTGTCCACACCTGCTCCCAATTGGCTGATTACTCCAGTCATTGTTCTGTTTCCAATACAGTATATACAGGTGCTGGTCATAAAATTAGAATATCATGAAAAAGTAGATTGATTTCAGTAATTCCATTTAAAAAGTGAAACTTGTATATTATATTCATACATTACATACAAACTCATATATTTCAGATGTTTATTTTGTTTAATTTTGATGATTACAAATGACAACAAATGAAAATCTCAAATTCATCATATCAGAAAATTAGAATATTGTGAAAAGGTTCAAAATTGATGGCCCCTGGTGCCACACTCTAATCAGCTAATTAACTCAAACCACCTGCAAAAGCCTTTAAATGGTCTTTCAGTCTAGTTCTATAGGCTACACAATCATGGGGAAGACTGCTGACTTGACAGTTGTCCAAAAGACGACCATCGACACCTTGCACAAGGAGGGCAAGACACAAAAGGTCATCACTAAAGAGGCTGGCTGTTCACAGAGCTCAGTGTCCAAGCACATTAATAGAGAGGCGAAGGGAAGGAAAAGATGTGGTCGAAAAAAGTGTACAAGCAAGAGAGATAACCGCACCCTGGAGAGGATTGTGAAACAAAACCCATTCAAAAATGTGGGGGAGATTCACAAAGAGTGGACTGCAGCTGGAGTGAGTGCTTCAAGAACCACCACACACAGACGTATGAAAGACATGGGTTTCTGCTGTCGCATGCCTTGTGTCAAGCCACTCTTGAACCACAGACAGCGTCAGAAGCGTCTTGCCTGGGCTAAAGAGAAACAGGACTGGACTGCTGGTGAGTGGTCCAAAGTCATGTTCTCTGATGAAAGTAAATTTTGCATTTCCTTTGGAAATCAAGGTCCCAGAGTCTGGAGGAAAAGAAGAGAGGCACTTCATCCACGTTGCTTGAAGTCCAGTGTAAAGTTTCCACAGTCAGTGATGGTTTGGGGTGCCATGTCATCTGCTGGTGTTGGTCCATTGTGTTTTCTGAGGTCCAGGGTCAACGCAGCCACATACCAGGAAGTTTTAGAGCACTTCATGCTTCCTGCAGCTGACCAACTTTTTGGAGATGCAGATTTCATTTTCCAACAGGACTTGGCACCTGCACACAGTGCCAAAGCTACCAGTACCTGGTTGAAGGACCATGGTATCCCTGTTCTTAATTGGCCAGCAAACTCTCCTGACCTTAACCCCATAGAAAATCTATGGGGTATTGTGAAGAAGAAGATGCAATACACCAGACCCAACAATTCAGAAGAGCTAAAAGCCACTATTAGAGCAACCTGGGCTATCATAACACCTGAGCAGTGCCACAGACTGATCGACTCCATGCCACGCTGCATTGCTGCAGTAATACAGGCCAAAGGAGGCCCAACTAAATACTGAGTGCTGTACATGCTCATACTTTTCATGTTCATACTTTTCAGTTGGCCAACATTTCTATAAATTCTTTGTTTTTATTGGTCTTCAGTAATATTCTAATTTTCTGATATGATGAATTTGAGATTTTCATTTGTTGTCATTTGTAATCATCAAAATTAAACAAAATAAACATCTGAAATATATGAGTTTGTATGTAATGTATGAATATAATATACAAGTTTCACTTTTTAAATGGAATTACTGAAATCAATCTACTTTTTCATGATATTCTAATTTTATGACCAGCACCTGTACTCCTTCCCAGAAGTTCCTCATAGCTGGCTTCTCTTCACTCCTCATGTGTTTTCCTCCCAAGCATCTCCTTGTTTTGGTTCCTGATTTCCCTGCCTGTTATGTCTGGATTTATGCTTCTATTACCAGCTACCTCATCATTAAATCTGCAAAAAAAAAAAAAAAACATTTCCGCCTTTCATCCCTGCATTTTGACCCTCTACAAACATCCCACTAACAATGACACACAAACAGAAATACCACTAATAGA